ATTCTACCCTATTTCAAAAAACAAAATTTCAGGGGGAATCTAGGGAGAAGCAAGGAAGAGGTGACATTGTCCAAAAGAAGATACTCAATACCTGACCTATGAAATGATAACTCCTATGTACAACACCTTAATAGTAAAAATAAAAATGTATTTTAAAAAAGAAATAAAAAATAAAACAATATTTCAAATCTCAACATTTCTTCCTATGGATTTACATTTATACATTTAAGTTTCTATCCAAGATCCATGTTGAGTTAATTTCTTTTTTTTTTTTTTGGGTCCGGTCATGGGGCCTGAACTCTGTGCCTGGGCAATGTCCCTCAGCTCTTCAGCTCAAGGCTAGAGCTCTACCACTTGAGCCACAGCGCCACTTCTGGCTTTTTTCTTTTTGCTTATGTGGTGTTGAGGAATTGAGCCCAGGGCCCCATGCCTGCAAGGCAAGCACTCTACCACTGAGCCACCTTCCCAGCCCCCATGTTGAGTTAATTTCTAAGATACTAGATTAAGCTAGCCACAGTGCCACTTCCAATTTTTCTGTTTATATGGTTTTGAGGCATCGAACTCAGGGCTTTGTGTATGCTAGGCAAGCACTCTACACCTAAGCCACATTCCCAGGTCAGTCGAAGAGAGATCTTTTGTTGTTGTTGTTGTCAGTTGTGGGGTTTGAACTCTGGGCCTGGGCACTGTCCCTTCCCTCTTCAGCTCAAGGTGGTCGCTCTACCACTTGACCCACAGCACCACTTCTGGTTTTCTAGTGGTTAATTGGAGATAAGAGTCTCACAGAGTTCCTGCCTGGGCTGTCTTTGAACCTCAATCCTCAGATCTCAACCTCCTGAGTAGCTAGTATTACAGGCATGAGCCACCGGTGCCCAGCAAGAGAGTTCTTTTTTTAAATTTAAAAAAAATTTTTATTACTTTTTATGCTGTTTATGTGGTACTGAAGAGTCGTACCCAGGGCCTCATGCATGCTAAGCAAACACTCTACCACTAAGCCACAATCTCAGCTCTGTTGTTATTTCTTTAAGCTTATTTTCTGGCTACAGATACCTGTTGTCAGATCTGCATGTCTCAAGTCTGGAGGTCCTCCAAACCACTTCCACACCCTCAGGTTTGTTAACACACTAAAGGGACTCTGCCATTTTACTCATGGCGATGGCTTAGAACAAAGAAGATTAAGGTCAGTAGCAGAAAAAGCCGTCCAAGACTTGTCCAGAAGACAAGAAGTCCTCAGTGGTCCTTCCCAGGTCAGCCATGCAAGCAGGGCCTTTTCCTGCAACACCATGTGATCATATACACCAACAGGTGAGTTCACCCAGACATTGAGATCCAGGACTGGAAGCTGTGTTGAGTGACCTAAATATGGTTCATCATTTGAAGGCTTACCTTAGTATTCCACTCTCCAGGGGTCAAGCTGATGCCTAAAGCATCCCACCGTTAATTCCATTGTTAGCATAGACTGTCTAGCATACACCAAGGCCCCTAGGTACAGAAATGCTGTCATCAGGAAGAGAATTTTAGGGGTTTAAGGCTGACCCCTTAGTAACTGATTTACCTCTTTGGAGAAGGTAAATTCATTACTGCTTCACCTCCATCCCTCCATCAGTACTGAGGTTCCATGGTCATCCTTAGTACCAGTAGAGTGATTCCTTCTACCCCATTTTTCATTTTCAAAATGGCTTTGGCTAGTCTAGTTCCAGTAATTTTCCATGTAAATTTAGAATGAGACTTACTGTCTATAAAATACCTTGCTGGAATTTAAATATGAATTTCCATATTCTTACTGTGATGTTGTACCCAATCTATAAATAGAGTAAGTTTATCTAATTTTTAGAACATGTTTTATTTCTTTCATTACTGTTTTATAGGGTTTGTTTTATCATGGACGTTCAATATACCTGGCATATATTCAGGTATTTATTTATTTATTCATTTGTCAGTCGTGGGGCTTGAACTCTGGGCCTGAACGCAGCTCAATGCTAGTGCTCTACCACTTGAGCTACAGTGCCACTTCCGGTTTTCTGGTGGTTTTATTGGAGATTAGAGTTTCACGGACTTTCCTGCCCGGGCTGGCTTTGAACCGAGATCCTCAGATCTCAGCCTCCTGAGTAGCTAGTATTACAGGCGTGAGCCACCAGCACCCTGCTTTAATTTCTTTAAAGTAATTTTTTAAAAGAATTTTTGGTGCCAGTCTTGGGGCTTGAACTCAGGCCTGGGCTCTGTCTCTGAGGGTTTTTTTTGTTTTTTGTTTTTGTTTTCCTCAAAGATAATGTTCTACCACTGCAGCCATAACTCCACTTCTGGCTTTTTGTTGGTTAATTGGAGATCGGAGTCTCATGGTCTTTCCTGCCCTAGGCTGGCAGGGAAGATCCTTGGATCTCAGCCTCCTGGGTAGTGAGGATTTCAGCACCTGGCAGTTTGGTACTTAAAAAAAAAAATCTCTGCTGAATGTCTTCATATTACGTACCTGCTTATCCACACCCTTTTGAACTTTAAATAATCATATAAATGATTTAAATTAGAATCTTTACTTTTTAAATCAGGGGCTTAATCTATTTGTATTTAAGAGTTATTGTCTTCTTTTTTTAATTTAATTTTATTGTATATTGTAAAGGTGCTGTACAGAGGGGTGACAGCTACCTGGGTAAAGAAATGAGCACATTTCTTGTCAAACATTTTTCCCCCTCCTTTGTTTTTTCCCTACTATCCCTTCCCTCTTATTATGTTCTTTCAGAAGCATTATATTACTTTTTTCCATATTATTTGTTCTCCAATATTCAGATTTCCACATCTGGTGGATCAGATATCTTTGCCTCTTTCATGCATGACATTCTTAGTATGCACCCTTTACCTGGAGATGTGTCTTATGGTTTTCATTTACATTTCATTGACAATTAGTGAGCTGAACTCCATTTTCTTTCTTTCTTTTTTTTGGGGGGGGGTCTGGTCATGGGGCCTGAACTCTGGGCCTGGACGCTGTCCCTCAGCTCTTCAGCTCAAGGCTAGCACTCTACCACTTGAGCCACAGCACCACTTCTGGCTTTTTTCTTTTTGCTTATGTGGTACTGGGGAATCGAACCCAGGGTCTCAGGCATGCAAGGCAAGCGCTCTACCACTAAGCCACCTTCCCAGCCCAACTCCATTTTCTTGTAACTACTGGACCTTTGTTTATATGTCTTCTTTAGAAAATTATCTATCTATTTCCAAGACGTATCAAGAGTGAAATAATCTGGGCCTGAAGAATTATTTTTTTCTTTTTTGTTTTTAGATATTACTGGCTTACCTTTTTTTTTTTGTCAGCTGTCAGGGGCTTGAACTCTGGGCCTGGGCGCTGTCCCTGAGCTCTTCAGCTCAAGGCTAGCTCTCTATCACTTGAGCCACAGCACTTCCAGTTTTCTGGTGGTCAATTGGAGATAAGAGTCTCATGGACTTTCTTGCCCAGTCTGGCTTTGAACCACAATCCTCAGATCTCAGCCTCCTGAGTAGCTAGGTTACAAGTGTGAGCCACTGGCTCCCAGCTTAGATTAAGTAGGTACAGGGGTATTCAGGTTATCAATTTTTTTTATCAGAATATTTGGAGGTTTACCAAGGACTTAGTTTACCTAATCTATTTAATAAATATTATGGATATAATTTATTGTATTCAATTATTGTCCTCTTAATATTAATGGATTGGTAGCAATAAACTCTTTCTCTAAAAATGGATATTTGAGTCTTTATTACTGCTTAGTATGACTAGAGGCTTATTAATTTTGTCTTTGAATTGACTTTTAGTTTTATTGGCTTTTTAAAAATAGTTTTTCTATTCTCAATGTCATAGTGTTTGCTGTAACTTTGAATATTTCATTTCCTCTGTTTCCTTTAGGTTTAATTTCTTATTTTGCTACAATTTCCTAAGGCAGAATGTTAGATTATTGATTTCTAAAGTATTGTCTATCATCCAATAATACTTTCTTATTTATAACCTCTGATGGGAAAGTGGAACAGGGGAAAAGAAGCACTTCAAAACCTGATTTTCTATTTTCACTCTTCAACTCAAACTCTTTTTTTTTGGTGTGTGGGGGGGTCCGGTCGTGGGACCTGACTCTGGGCCTAGACACTGTCCCTCAGCTCTTCAGCTCAAGGCTAGCACTCTACCACTTGAGCTACAGCACCACTTCCGACTTTTTTTTTTCTGCGTATGGTGCTGAGGAATCGAACCCAGGGCCTCAAGCTGCAAGGCAAGCTCTCTACCACTGAGCCACCTTCCCAGCCCAACCCAAGCTCTTTGTAATAATCAATGGAATCTTATGAGCTTAACAGAACAAAAAAGTGTCTTCTTGGGGCTGGGAAGGTGGCTCAGTGGTAGAGCACTTGCCTTGCATGCATGAGGCCCTGGGTTCGATTCCTCAGCACCATATAAGCAAAAAAAGAAAAAAGCCGGAAGTGGCACTGTGGCTCAAGTGGTAGAGCGCTAGCCTTGAGCTGAAGAGCTGAGGGACAGCGCCCAGGCCCAGAGTTCAGGCCCCACAACTGGACCCCCCCCCAAAAAAAGTGTCTTCTTTGTTTCTCAGAATTTATATTGTGTTCAAATGATCAATACTCTACTGGATGTCAAAAGCTATTGGTATGGCACAAGTGGTAACTTTCAACATCATTGTACTGTCATTGGGTGCATGTAAGGTACTGCAATGAACAAGCAGAGATGGCTGACCCTATTTAGGATTAAGGAAGCCTTTTGTGGGGGGATTTCTTTGTATTAGACCCTATGGTTTTACTGAACTATACCTCACCTCTTGAAGCTTCAGGTCCCTTTAATGGTTTCTAGAACTGGAAAGTATTGTACCATGCACAGCCACTGATGCAAAACAATGCTCTGGTGATCCTTGAAGCATGACATTCCCCTCTCTCCCCCTGCCACTCTGGTTCTGGCTCATCACCCAGAAAAAGCCAGTGTAGGCCATCTAGCTATATAAAGTGTTCTCAGTCCTCCAGGACACATGATTTCCTCTCTCCCAGGAGCCATGGCTGCCCCAATGCTGACCTTCATTATCTGTGGGCTGTTAACTCAGATGGCCAAAGGTAAATGGAACTCTATAAAGCATGGATATTAAAGTTAGGTTAAGTCCTGCCTTCCCCCTCCCCCACTCAGTATCTTGAGAGAAAAAGAGTCACCTTTGGTTATTTCCTGTTATTTTGGCAGCCCCATGCCCCTCCTTTCTGGAGATTCTTTTGTTAGAGGCATCTAGTAAGCTACGGTGTTCTCTGAGACTATTTTTTTGTTTTTGTGGGGGGGGGGGTCTGTCATGGGGCTTGACCTCTGGGCTTGGGCACTGTCCCTCAGCTCTTCAGCTCAAAGCTCATACTCTACCACTTGAGCCACAGCACCACTTCCAGTTTTCTGGTGGTTAATTGGAGATAAGAGTCTCATGGATTTTCCTGCCTGGGCTGGCTTTGAACTGCGATCCTCAGATCTCAGCCTCCTGAGTAGCTAGAATTACAGGCTTGAGCCACTGGCACCCAGCTGAGACATTTCTTTGAAAGGCAAGGTCTCAGTGCTCTGAGCTCCTTCATCTGTCTCCCTGTACAGCTACTGGTGTCAGCCTGGCCTCTCACCAGTTCTACTGTGACTATTTCACTCTTGTGTTCTAAGTTGTCAAAAAAACCTTTCTACCATTTTAAATTTTTCTGTCCCCCAAGTTCCTTCAGAGGGACACCCTCGTTTTCACGTTCTTCCATGTAGTTAGCAAGTCTTCATGATCTATTCTGTAGAGCTGTAGTGTGGAAGAGTCTGTGAAGTTGGGGAAGGGAGGGGAGAATGAGCGGTAGCCTGCAGGGGGTGTGCTTGAGAGGGGGAAATTGGTTGAATACTGTGCTCATATGTATGGCAATAGAGCAGTGAACCTCCCCTCGTCATATAACTGACACAAACCAATGAAAATTGTACTTTCAATGACTGAAGACATGTTAATAAAAATCAATGCTCTGTAAATTACTTATTCAAGTTATTTTCATATAAATAAGTCTATTTCTGTTTTCAGTACAAGGATAGTTAATACACGTTTTCATCTATGTAAATCATTCAGTATAAATTCTTTTTTTTTTTTTGTCGGTCGTGGGGCTTGAACTCTGGGCCTGGGCGCTGTCCCTAAGCTCTTCAGCTCAAGGCGAGCACTCTACCACTTGAGCTACAGCGCCACTTCCGGTTTTCTGGTCGTTTATTGGAGATAGGAGTCTCATGGTCTCTCCTGCCCGGGCTGGCTTTGAACCGCGATCCTCAGATCTCAGCCTCCTGAGTAGCTAGGATTACAGACGTGAGCCACCAGCGCCCGGCTTCAGTATAAAATTCTTTAAAATCTATTGCTCCTGTCTGCTTAATGTGTTATCAATTTTTAAATATTTGCAAATGCTATAAATAAAATATTTTATTGGGACAGTTAATTTTCACTTACATCTTTGGGTAATAAACAAGTTGAACTTCAAATACAATTTATCAAATATTTGAAATTTTCTAAACATCCTTTATGCTTATTTTTCTCTTTTGTTTTGGAGGATTCACTTCAATTCCTCTTAATTCAGTCTCTTATTCCCTTATAGGTTATGTTTTAAAAATCAACTGTTTAATCCTTCTGAGCCTTATTTTATATGTTTTTAGGTGATGGAGTATCTATCTGACAATTTACAGAGCTACTTTTTATTTTGCCATGCTGTCCATTGCTGTCCAATTAATATATTTAAATTGAATCTAACTGATTCCATACCTGCTAATATTTTGTCTGTATTGCTTGAATATATATCATTGTCCTTCATAGTTTCTAGTATGTGAATTTTGAGACACTGGTAATAACAATCACATGCCCAAGTAATATAATAGCTTCAGAATGGAGATTTTTTTTTGCGGGGGGGGGGGGAATGGCTATTGTTACTTTTAAAAATCACGTTATTTTTATTTTTATTTTTGACATTGGGAACAGTTTCTTAAGACCTGCCACCAGCTGGGCAATGTTTTGGCTTTATGCACCCTCCTCCATGGCAGTGCAATCACGTTATTTTTAAAAAGTCAATTTGTGGATTATTCCCAATGGTCATTATTTTATTGTTAAGTTAGACTCTAGGAATTCTGTGACATTTCCATTTCGATGTCACTCACATCTACAAAAATGTCTATTTTAGCTACCTTAACGTTAACATCTGGATTTAACCAATCTCACCGCCACCCCTGCTACCAGTCAGGCTTGGTTTTTTCTTTTTCTCCAAATATTATTCTGTGGCTTTATTTCTGTCACCTTAAGAGGTATCTATAAAAAAATGAATCCAAAATTGACATCTCTTTCTCTGACATCCTACAGGTATTTTCAATGGCTTTCTTGATGTAAGCGAATCCTTAGCCCATCATTTTCTTTGCTCCAGTCACACTTATCTCTGATTTTACTCTTCAGGGAATAGCACAAATCTCTAATCACAATCACCCAGCTCAGAAAACCATCAATTCACGTTAATTTCTTCATACTCCTCTTACATATCACCCAAGTAATTGATATCTTAAATCTATAATCTGTGTGTCTGTGTGTGCACACGTGCACACGTGCATGCATGCATGCACACTAGTACTGGGGCCTGGGCACTATCCCTCAGCTTTCTTACTCTAGACTGTTGTTTACCACTCAAGCCACAGTTGCACTTCTGGTTCCCTGCAGGTTCATTAGAAATTAAGAGTTTTACAGAAATGCGCTTCTTTCTCTCCCGCCACTTTGTTTTTTCTTTTTGCCAGTCCTGGGGCTTGAACTCAGAGTCTGGGCACTGTCCCTGAGTTTCTTTTGCTCAAGGATAGCACTCTTGAGCCACAGCGCCACTTCCAGCTTTTTCTGTGTACGTGGTACTAAGGAATCGAACCCAGGGCTTCATGCATGCTAGGCAAGCACTCTACCACTGAGCCACCTTCCCAGCCTCTCTGCCACAATTTTTTGAGGTCACATACCACTGTATTTTTTTTATCAGACTCAATTAGTTGTATAAGAATGCTTAATTTTGGCATGTTCATTCATGCATGTCGTGTCTTTGGTCAAACTCAACCCCCTCCACCACTCTCCTTGTGGCTCCACTTCCCTTTGCAAACCAATCTCAATAAACCATCGTTGTTTCTTTCCTTTTTTGGGGGGGGGGTCCGGTCGTGGGGCCTGAACTCTGGGCCTGGGCGCTGTCCCTCAGCTCTTCAGCTCAAGGCTAGCGCTCTACCACTTGAGCCACAGCGCCACTTCCGGTTTTCTGGTGGTTTATTGGAGATAGGAGTCTCACGGTCTTTCCTGCCCGGGCTGGCTTTGAACCTCGATCCTCAGATCTCAGCCTCCTGAGTAGCTAGGATTACAGGCGTGAGCCACCAGCGCCCGGCTTCCTTAACTTTTTTTTTAATTGTGAAAATACTGTACAGAGGGGTAACAATTACATGGGCAAGATAATGAGTACATTTCTTATCAAGCATTGTAGCCTCCTCCTTTGTTTCCCCTTCCCATTCCTTCCCAGCCTCCCCCCCCCCCAGCCCCCCCAATCCACCCCGCCTCCCGCCCTGTCCCTTAACTTTTGTGCTCAAGGCTGCTGCTCTACCACTGGGTCAGAGCTTCATTTTTGGCTTTTTGATGGTTAATTGGAGATTTGAGTCTCACAGATTATCCTGCCTAGGCTGGCTTTGAATCTCAATTCTCAGATCTCAGCCTTCTAAATAGATAGGATTACAGATGTGAGCTACCAACACTCACAGATTTTTGAATGAAGTTTTGCCGATGCTAGAGTTTAACATCTGATCTACTTTTCCTTCCTGCAGCAGGCTGGTGGGAACTAAAGTGCTGGAAAAATGACTTGGGACACTGCAGAAGACGATGTTTAGATAATGAAAGATACATCCGACTTTGTAAGAACAAGGTGTCCTGCTGTCTTCCCTTGCGGTTTTCACATGAATACACTCGCAGACCACCACCTGCCTTCATGCGACCAGAAGATGTCACCGTTGACTTCAGTGACTGGACCCCTTTTCCTGTTTCACCGAACCTAAGCGATACATTCCCCTTTAATACAAATGAGCCTTATGAAACTTTCCCTACAACTCAGGAGCAACATACTTCTAAGATTGTAGAACACACATCTCAGGTATATGTTATTAGAGCTATTTAATCCTTCCTTCGGTGTATAGTCCAGATAGAAAGACTCGAGGATTCGAGGAGCTACTTCTACCAAGGCAATGTCACTGGGAAGGTTCCATCAGAGATGAAATGACTATGGAGGTGGACTTAAGTGCTGCAGAAATGAGACAAGCTTAGAGAGCTGCCTTAAGTCAGGAATGTGCAGATAGGAGAGTTCTCTTTATGAGGCTTACATTCTTCACCGATATTCTTCTGAATTATTAAAATTCATCTACCAATTTTGGTCTTGGGTGTATGTCTGCTTTTAAATTATTTTAATTGTACATATCTGTGGGTTGCAGTGTAAAATTTGACATGTGTGTGCAATATCTAATGATCAAAGGTGGCTCAAGGCGAGCCACAGTGCCACTTCCGGTTTTCTGGTGGTTAACTGAAGATAAGAGTCTCACAGACCTTCCTGCCTGGGCTGGCTTTGAACCACAATCCTCAGATCTTAGCCTCCTGAGTAGCTAGGATTACACGAGTGAGCCACAAGCACCCGGCTTTTCCCCTATTTTTCTACATTCATTTTCAAAATTAAGGGGAGGGGGGAAACACATTGTATTTGATACTTTTGTTATTGCTGTGACAAATACTTGGGAGAATCAGCCTAAGGGAGAAAGTATTCATTTTAGTTCACAACTTTAGTCATGTTAGTCCATCATGGTGGAATGAAGCAGCTCAAATCATGGCAACCAGGAAGTAGAGAAAAAAGAGGATACAGGAAGAGGACTGGACAAGATGCAGACCCCAAGGACACATCTCTACTTCCTCCAGCCTATTACCTCCTCCCCAAAAGGCCGTCACATTACAAAGCCATTAAGGGATTAATCCACTCACTAGTTCAGAGCCCTCATAATCTAATTGTCTCTAGATGTGTCATCTCAAAGATATACTAAGGTGTCTCTGAGTCCACTTACATTGACAATGAATATTCACCACACATGCAATCATGGCACATGAGGTACAGTGTACTCATCAAATCTGCCTTTGAGCTCCTAGGTTCTAGTTACTGAAAAACACAACCGAAGTCTGGGATTGTGGCTCAGTGGTAGAGTGCTTGCTTAGCATGTATGAAGCCCTGGGTTTAATTCCTTGGGACCACATAAATGGAAAAAGCCAGAAGTGGCTCAAGCGGTAGAGTACTAGCCTTGAGCAAAAGAAGCTCAGGGACAGAACCCAGGCCCTGAGTTCAAGTCCCAGGACTGGGGGAAAAAAAAAGGAAAAAAAAAGAAATGAAAAACATTCAACAGGCTACTGTAAATTATAATCCTTTCAGTGTGCCACAAACACTTCTGAGGTTGTAGAGAGAAAGAAATGTTTATTCACTATCATTGGTAAGGTAGATGAGTTCAACCATTCTGGAAGTCAGTATGGTATTCCTCAAAGCAATTAAAAAATAGTATTCCCATATAATCCATGGTATGTATACTAGTATGTACATTTGAATATATTCCCCAAAGAATCAAGATCAGCTTGCTGTACATGTACATCCATGTTTATTATGCATTATTCACAGTAGCCATGAAGTCAGCTTGGGTGTCCAGCAATGGATACATGGATAAAGAAAATGTGGTTACGATGAGATGTACAAGACATTATGTTGAAAAATGAACTTTATAACTTTGGCATGGGGGGGGGAAGGAATAGTGGGGGAGAAGGGAAGGGATGGTAAGGGGAAACAAAGGAGGAGGCAACAATGCTTGATAAGAAATGTACTCATTACCTTGCTCATGTAATTGTAACCCCTCTGTACGGTATTTTCACAATAAAAAATGTGGTTACATATACACACAGCAGAGGTAATAGACAGCCATTATGAAGAAAGAAATCATTATTTGATAGAAACTGGATGGAACTGGAGATCATCATGTATCATATAGACAAGTATTACATGATTTTTCTCATGTGTAAAAAACAGGGGATAAAAAAAAGGACAAAAAAAGATCACAACATTAAAAGACTTCTAAGGGAGGTAGAAGGGAGAGGAGAAGAGAAAAGTAATATAGGGGGTTAACATGATCAAGGAACATTGCTGCACTTATCAAAATGTAATAATGAGACCATTTTTATGTACAATTTAATATATACCTTTTTTTTGGTCAGTCCTGGGGCTTGAACTCTGAGCCTGGGTGATGTCCCTGAGCTCTTCAGCTCAAGGGCAGTGCTCTACCACTTTAAGTCACAGTACCACTTCTGGTTTTCTGGTGGTTAATTGGAGTCTCACAGACTTTCCTGCCTGGACTGGCTTTGAACTGCAATCCTCAGATCTCAGCCTTCTGAATAGCTAGGATTACAGGTGTGAGCCACTGGTGCCTGGCTATATACCGATTTTTAAAAATGAAGAAAAGCTCCTTTTTTTCCACAATGCAAGTTTTGTCCTCTACTATACTTTTTCTTATCTCCAATAAAGAAAGGCTCTTATCTCCAATAAACCACCAGAAAACTGGAAGTGGTGCTGTGGCTCAAGTGGTAGAGCACTAGCCTTGAGCTGAAGAGCTTAGGGACAGTGTCCAGGCCCAGAGTTCAAGCCCCACGACTGACAAAAAAAAAAAAAATAGGGAAAACCAGTTATTATAACTGAAGGGAGCAATCTCCCATTTTTCTCCCCAAAGAGTCAGCTTCTCAGACCTTATAGAGGGGCAGGGACCACAGAGACAGGGGAAGGGAAATGAGGGTGAATGTGATTATGTACTACAAATGCATACATGAAGCTAGAACAATAAAACCAGTTGAAATTGTTCTGGGAAGGGCGTGAGGGGATGAGGGGGTGGTGAAATTGCTCTAGATTTGTTATCCTCTCAAGTGGAAGCACCATAATGAACCTCCCTTGTAGAACTAAAGTATCTTAATAAAAATAGATTTCTTACATGACAAACCTCACTCAGCCATGAATGACTTTTGTAACAGAAATATAACCCTGATTTGGAAGAGATCAATAGTCTCATTGAAACAAAATGAATGTCCTGCAATATACTGCCCTCTAGTGGATATTTTCACTTGTTTATTTATTTTATTAATTTATTAATCTTATTAGCAAATTATGATTGTATTCACTTATGGGGTGCAACCTGGTGTTCTGATATATTTAAATTATGTGGCAGGATAAAAACCAAGATAACTAAGACATTTACAGTGCTGCTGACCTAAAGGGTTTTTTTCTTTTCCTTTCTTTTCTTTTTTGCCTGTGAAGCTAGAGATTAAATTCATGACAATTTGCCTGTTTGGCAAGCATTTTACCACTGAGTTACATCCTCTTTCCCCTAGTAAATTCTTTTGCCTTAAAGGCCAGATAAGTTCAGACAGCTGGAGTCTCACAGTTATAGGAGTTATGTGGTCATAAACATACAAGCATGTTTAAGCAATAAAATAACTACTCTCCAAAAACAATATATGTCCAAGATTTGCAATAAGACCTATGATAATTAAATTGTCAAAGAGCCAGACACTGGTGGCTCATGCCTGTAAACCTAATTGCTCAGGAGGCTGAGATCTGAGGACTGTGGTTCAAAGCCACCCCGGCAGGAAAGTCTGTGAGACTTTTATCTCCAATAAACTATCAGAAAAAGCCTGATGTAGCACTGTGGCTCAAGTAGTAGAGTGCTAGCCTTGAACAAAAGAAGCTCAGGGATAGAGCCCAGGCCCAGAGTTCAAGACCCAAGACAGGAAAGGAAGAATAAAGAAAGAAAGGAAGGAAGAAAGGAAGGAAGGAAGGAAGGAAGGAAGGGGAGAAAGAAAAGAAGGAAGGAAGACAAGGAAGAAAGGAAGGAAGGAAAGGACAGAGAGAGAAAAAAAGAAAAAAGAGAAAGAAAAAAGAGAAAAAAATGTCAAAAGACACAAATACAGACTGGAAAACAGCAAAAAGAAAGAAACAATTTGTTATACATAAGCAATAATCAATAAAGTTGAAAGCTGAATTTCCCCTCACAAGCCATGGAAGCCAAAAAGAAGTGAAATTACGTCTTTCCCTACCAGTTGAACTTATGGCTTTTTGATGGTTAATTGAAGATAATACATTTCATGGATTTTCTGGTCCAGGCTAGCTTTGAACTGCAATCTTCAGATCTCAACCTCCTGAGTAGCTAGGATTATAGGCATGGGCCACCAGCATCTGGCAAGGAATGACATTTCTTAAGTGCTAAAATAAAAACTTAATCAAGCAAGATTTTTATATTGAACAATGATATCCTTCAAAAATGAAGGGAAATGAAAACATTCTTAGTACAGAAAAATGGATAAATTTTTACTAAAGAGGACATTTGACCCACTAACTGTTCAAGCCTCCTGGGATTACAAGTGTGAGCCACTGGTCCCCGGATTTTGATAATTAATAGTTCTTTTTAGTGTAGCTTTGGAATTTTTTTCAGTCATAGGTCAACTTAAATGACCTATTCATATTCTTACAGAGGCTCACAAAAAGCCACTTCTATGCATGCAAGATTGATTTATTACATGCTGATTTCATCTGCTGTTTGAACTGGTAGAAACAGAGAAATATAATTTCTAGATGAGCTGCAGGCAGCTAACGTTCACCGCTCACATTTTCCCCTTTAGAAGTAGTCATCTGAGCTGAAAGGGGAGTTACATTCAGAAAGTAAAAATGTGACTTCCAGTAAAAACACACATTATTGAGTGAGGTGAAAGTAGCTTCATTAATATTTTTGTCAACTCAGAAGGAGAACAAAAATCTAGACTGATAGCATGACACCATAAAAATTACAGAAGAAGCTGGGTGCCAGTAGCTCACACCTGTAATCCCAGCTACTCAGGAGGCTGAGATCTGAGAATTATGGTTCAAAGCAAGCAGGAAAGTCTGTGACACTCTTATTTCCAATTAACCACTAAAAAGCTGGAAGTAGAGCTGTAGCTCAAGTAGTAGAACCTTGAGAAAGGAAAAAAAAAAAGAGCTGCAGGACAGCACTCAGGCCCTGAGTTCAAGCTCCATGAGTGACACAAAAGGAGGAATAAAGAAGAAGGAGCAAGAGGAGGAGG